AAAATGTTTCCATCCTCTTTTGTTTCGAAAGAACGACGCCCGTGATTAGAGATTTGTGTGTGTCTTTCCTTGTCTTCAATTTATCTGATTGTAGATACATGTTCTTTTTTCAATTTCAATTATGTTATATCATTTCAAATTATTCTAATACTAATCTAGGTACTAGATTACCCTTATGGTACTAGAGTACCCTTTCTGATACTGTTACGAAAAGTATAATTTTGTTGGCGCGGTGGCTGGGCTACTGACTGCCGCGCAATATGTAGAGGGTTCGATTCCCGCACGGAACAACTCTTTGTGTGATCTACAAATTGTTGTTCCGGGCCTGGATGTTATGTGTATGTTGAATTGTATGTTTTTAAACGCACCCAAGACACAGGCAAAAATCGAAGTGTGCGGCAAAGTTAACTAAAAAAAATATATTTAACTATTTACAAGCTAAGAAAACAAAATGTCAAAACAAAAATAGATTTCCGTAGCTAAATATAATATCCTACCTCAACATTTTCTTGTTACAACGACACAGGGCGTTTTCATTAAATCACCTGAATATGAGTTTGCTAACGCGTTCCAAGCTAGAATGGTACTTGTACAGACTTCTTAATATGTCCTCAAAGAGTACACAAGCATATTAGTAACTTAGGCCCATATTAAGCTCCCGTACCTTCACGTAAACGGCTTTTAACCCTAGCACCGCGATAGCTCTTTAACAGCGCCACCAACCTATTATGCGGGGTCATATATCCTCTTCGCAATAGAATAGGCACCAACTAACTAGTATACGATGGTCGTGGCTTTGGTTACATTAGCATACGCTTATACGGGAGTCGGTTCGCAATGATTATTTACATAATTAGTATACAGAAACTATTCGTGAGTGTTCGAGGGTTGATATAGGTGGTGTTTGTAATTTTGTAATAATAATAATTATTACAATTTTGAATGTCTTTGTAATCTTATTATTCATGTCTGTAGATAATATGGGATATAACACTAACCCACGATTTTCTGTCTTCTTGGCGTCTGTATTTTTGTTTATTAAGATGTATATTTAAATTTTTTGATGGACAAACATCATTAACTTTCCCGCCCTTCAGGAAGGGGGCGATGGAGCGTCAGACTTTTATAAACTAAAACCCATCCCGTTCCTTCTCCTGCTTGGGTCTTGAACCTCGTTACATTATGACGTTGCACCCACAACCCTGGCTGTTGTCACATTACCTTCCTACTATCGTCAATGAAGTATACGATAAAAAGGCGGCTAACTAAACTAATCCTAAACTAGACTATAAATAAGTAGGAATGAATACGACTGATAATCAATTTATTTCATATAAATCAACACAATTAGCGTTCTTGTCAAATCCGCCATTTTTGAAAGCGCTGCGACGATGGGCTGTATCATAAGTTACAAAACAGTAATACAGTCTTTAGTCAGTCCTAGACTTAAAACAAAACAAAACGAAAGAACTGCAAAGAAGATCAGTAAAATGAACGAAAACATTCTCGAAAAATTCCTTTCAAACCAATTTCTCCACATCACAGGTGTTGTAATTTCGCCCAATGTTTGCAAGAGAAATTACCTCAGTATTCTAAATCAAGGTTAGGTGTCTATTTATCTCTTTCTTAGCACCTATTACTGTTCTAAGGGCTACATATTACTTGTAATTGTGTACTTTACACGAACTTCCCTCGTTTACATAAATTGCTTGTGAAAATTGTTTTGATTTACGAAAGAGGCGTGTGTTTGAAGATAATAATTTTCGCTGATAATAATGTGATAGGAAAAGGGTTTCAAAGGTCCGTTGGAAATTTTCCCATAACGAAGTCGTGTTGTTTTAGTGAGGTCGTTTGGTTTGTTTTTGGGTCTCCTTTGTTGATGTGGGATTGTAAACCCTATATTTTTTAGAACCCTATCTTTTTTGTTGCATTTGTATACTTACAAGAATGCCATAGCATAATAAGATAAGGAGTATCTGTTTTGAGATAAAATGTAGCACAAAAAGTTAAGACCTTATGTTCTTTTTTATATAATCTAATATTTTATTTTTCAAAAAGGCAAAAAATATGTTATTAAAGCAATATTTCAATTATTATTTCAGACATCGAATCCCACCTAGTTTTAAACTTACATGAACTTTCTAGGTAGTGTAATTAGGTTTAGAACAATTGAAATACTATCTAAAACTTACCCTGAACTGTTGAGCAAGGTTTTGATGGACAAATATAAGACATTTTCTAAAACTTTAAAGAAGGCCAGGGTTGAGGAAAACAGGGTCATCCTTATCTATAAAGTCCGGCAAAGAACGTCCTCTGGTGTGCGAGTCTCATTGAGCGGCGTTGATTACTTACCATCAGGTAAAAAGTTTGCTCATGTGCCGACAGACAACATAATTATAAAGAATTATAATGAAAACATATCAGTCAAGTATTTATTTGTTTACTTCGACGTAAGTATATGAAAACAATCCTTACTTAAAACGCAAACGACACCACTCAATATAAAGCGTACTATATTGTGACGTTTCGATTTAATCTAAATGGCGAAAATTACAAAAAATACGACCGGAGTGATACCACGGCCTCATAGAAAACAGGCGCGAAACAACCACAGCGTTGTATTTCTTCGTGTGAGTGAGGTTACCGGAGGCCCAGGCCTTCCTACACCCTCCATTCCTTCCCAATCCTTAAATATTCGAAATCCTTATCCCTAAAAGGCCGGCAACGCACTCGTAACTCCTTTGGTGTTGCCATGGGCGGCGCCGATTGCTCACCATTAGGTTATACATCTGTTCGCCTGCCGACCTATCTAATAAAAAAAGGTAATTTTCTTTACTAGCATTGCATAGTACATTAAAACGTGGTATATGGCTTCAAAAGCAGTACCTGTAAAGTTAATAAGTATACGAGTACCTTCGAGCACCTAAAGCTTCCTCCGCATGATCATTTCTGTCATAAAATGAGTGAGGTAGGTATCTAATATTTTTGAAATTATTTGACATTCCGATAGCAAATTGATCGTCTGGAACTGCCACACTGGTTTCTATTTTTAAATAAAGGTATTTTTGTAATTTTTGCATTTTTGTTTTCTGTTTGCAAGAAGTTTATCTTGTAAGTAGTAAAATATGTTTTATATATTTAATTTGTAAAAGATAGATTTGCATGAGATAGCGATGAAAATGAAAAGAAAAACAACTTTAGTACCTAAAGCATATGTTCTAATTTCATTCACTTTATTTCTACTACAAAAATCACTTAATTTTTTTAATTATGTTGAATAGTTACGTTGCTAGCCAATTTCCCAAAGCCACTCATTTATCGTATTATTGTATTTATACAACTTTTACATTCAAGGGGAAAAATCTATTACATATTTATTCTTAGAAGACTCAATTTACATTCCATTACTTTAAAAGTAAACAAAGAAAGTTAATAAGTATTCTGAACCAGCTTAAATACTTGTAGACTATCACTTTTCTTTGATAAACAAGATAACAATGGCCGAACACAAAAACATATTTCGGCAATACTATTTAGACATTTTGAAAATGGAACAGAGTTCTTTTATTACTAAGAAATAATGGAAAACTGGCCATTTATAAGCCTCTAAGAATTTTAAGCTTCGTATTTATTATTTTTCTTTATATTTACGCAGTTCCACAGCGTTTAGTTTTAATAAAATGTCGGGGAAATATAATGGGACGTTTTTAAGAGAGAACCTTTTGTTCAGGATGGTCTTTTGAGAGCCTTTGCTAAAGTACTGCTATGTTAATCGAAGACGAGTTGCTTTTTCTAAAAAAAATTAGGGTACTCTCAAGCATTCAGTGGTTCTTACGTTTACATGTAAATGTTTATTATTTTTCTTCTTATATTAGGGTCTTGTAATGGATGCTTAAGTTTTATTAGCCACGGAATAAAAACATGGAATAGACTTATCAACGCTTGAAGTGCAAGTTCAAATAAATAAAAAATGATCGTGCTACGTTACAGTAGAGCCTTGTTTAGTATTATATACAATGATATTATATTAACACAGATATATTATACCCTCACAAAACGCACGAAAAATGTGTCCCGTGCCAAGCGTGAGCACACTCATCATTAATTGTACATGTCACTACATGTTAAAATTGTAGAAAAATGATAATATGATAAATAAAACAAGAAAAAACGAATTAAGTAGTTATTGCTATCAATTACGGACTCAGCGTAAACAAACATTATTCTAAGAGAGACTAATTGCACTTGCATACAATTTTATCCCTTTCGAGTCTTCACTTTTGCGCGCTTATAACATATCTGTTACTACATAATATCATTGATTATAAAATTTACTTCTTCTTTTATGGAATGTGTTCTTAAAATTACAGCATGATAGTTTAATAATCTTTCTAATGGATGTCTAAAAACATATTACTGATTTTGCAACTTAACACGTTCAACAATATAAGGGATAAAATGTAAGTTACGCTAGCTAAGGATTTGCCCACAACCTATATCTCTCGGCAATGGGTGATAGAATGATCTCATTTAATTTCAATAAGGTAAGTGCAAACAAAAGTTATACACACATGCGTAATTATGTGTACACACATTGTTTATCAAAATTTACTTATAAATAGTGTAAATATACAAATGTACAATTTGGTATGCAGGGACAAAAATAAATAACGACTGGACATATACATTCTAATTAAATGTAAGTTTGAAATCGCCAATTTGTCGAGTAAATGTGTTTTCTTTCTTTCTTACTTTGCTCAGCAGAGGGCACTTGCACAACCCCTTAATGTAATTCTTATTTTACAAAGTCTTAACCATTTATTGCTACTAAACCATAAATATTTATTCTTTTTTTGAGGTTTCAAATACCTATTACTTTTGAAACCACAAAAAAAGAAAATAGTCTTTTCGTCACTGAAGGTAGTGTGTGGAGAAGTGTGGTCTGGTAGGGCTAAGCTTATTCACGAATAGGTCGACTAGACCGAAACGATACCACGGCCTCACATCATCCCTTCCCAATTCTTTATATCTGTTTGTCTGTTTGAATCCCAGGCAGGGCAATGCACTGAAGTGTTGCGGGTGTCCATGGGTTGCAGCGATTGCTTGCCATCAGATAATCCGTCTGCTCGTTTGCCAACCTATAAAAAGATAGGTCACATTACAAAACGTTAAGCCTAGATTACCCCAAAATTACCAATGTGCAGTGACATTCACAGACAACATGAATAATTCAAGTACTACTTACACAACCTACTCAAGAAGGTGGGACATTAATACTCCTCCTACACATAATTTTGGACATTTTTATAACGTTATTATCTGATAGGGAGCTATTTTAAAAGGCTCATTTCACTATTTTACAGCGTATTTATCTTACAACGCGTAAATGTAGGTGAGACTAAAATTTATTAAGATTACAATAAAAAATATGTTTACTGAAGATACTTAACGTGAATAATTAAGGGCATAAATTTCAGTTTTAATTAAACAGAACTAATTTTAGTTAAGTAGATAGGTAGCTGTTTGCTGTTGTGCGTTTTTAGAGTTGTTGGGAATATTGTATTGAAGCTGTGTAGGTTGTGCGAATATTTATGGTATTTGAAAAAAAATATATAAAAAAAACACTTGTATCAATTTTTATTTATTATTCGTAGTCAATAACTATGATGAAATTTGTACCTCTCTGTATAAGTGTCATAATGTCGTTACTTTCAATGAACCAGGTAAGTCTATTTATAAATCGTGTTGAAACTGCTTCTAGTACGATATATAATTATAATTATATAAATATACATTAATGTTATTTTAAGCTCGGTGTTCACTCGTGTGCGATGTAATTGCAAGCAAGCACCACTGGTTCCACATCCCGACTCTGTCCCAGCTTAGAAAAATATTAATATTTCATTAATTAATTATCACATTACAGCACACATACACAGATACAGACTCTATGTCCACAGTATAACATAATGCTACTTGCTACGATGTTTATGTAACTATTATAATCTAATTTAAACTTTATTTTATAAATAACTTTTAATATTAGTTTATAATTTTTTTTAGTTATAAATGGTGATTGAACAAAATAACATCGTGAGAAAAGTTAGACTCAATTCTGGACTGAAATAATTTTAAATTGTAAGTTTAAAATACTAAATTCGCATTGAGCAATCCTGGTGATTATTGCTTCTTCCTTCACCGCTAGAGAACAGGTCTTTGACTGTTACACAAAAAGCTGGTGATCTGACACATGCAGAATTACATACGCATATGAAGATAATTTAATTTTGTCATAATTACAGCCTACAGGTACTCTGGACTGCCCATCACTTAGACATAAAAAAGTAAAAAGGGTAATTCGTCGTATCTAACTTGAAATTTCAAAGAAATAAATCCAAAAAGCCTACGCCATACGAGCACCTTTCACGAAATAATTTAAATAGATATTAATTTTAATGCAAACAGTCTCAACCGTGCGGTTACGGTAGTTATGCAAATAAAATGTGCAGGCCAAACCGAGGGATTTAGTAACCTTATGCTAATCAAATCCCGGAGACTTTGCAACTGCATACGTAGCGTTTGGGGTTCATGCATTTCCGGTGGTAGTTATGACAGATTTTCACTGGAAAATGTTTACTGATAAAGTTAGGGTTGCCTCCAAAACTAAAACGGAAATAGAAAAAGTGATGTTTTGAAAAATTTTCTAACTTTTGAAAAAATAACGCTAATTTTGAAGATTTTATTTAACTAGCAATGGATAAATAGATCCATAGATACATTATGTTAAAGTAGACAATAGTTAGGTGTTGAGCATAGATACGCTTAAGTAAACACAATTTTCGATTGACAATTTTTACCGATAAAGTTAGGGCTGCCTCAAAATTTAACTTCACTAATGAGCCTACTAAAATATAAAATTACTACACATACAAGCGAACTAAACTCGAAAAACTGCTATCTGTTTTGCGCAAAAAACGTGTAAAGTACAAAAGATAACAATTTTAAATAAGCCTTCCATTGCCATTGCGTTAATGAATTTTATTCCGTAGAAACTTATCTGTTTTTCCATGAATTACCTAAAAATGAGAAAATTATTTAAAATTTAAATTTATTTCTTTATTTATTACACAATGTACAATGACGGACTTAACATTATTCATTTCTAGTAAACCAATTGTAATTATTCAAATTCATAGGAAATCTAAGATAATTCGACACGAAACTTCGATCCCACTCCCGCGACATGTAGTCTTCAGGCACCGTTAGCGCGGATCTGTGGACGGCGAGCAAGGGTAGGCTATCCACAACCAGACCTGAGTCTACGACGCGTAGCATTCCAAGCACGCCTCAAAGAGTCCTCAGGCCATCACAGAATAGGCTCAATAGAGCTAAAGTTTAGTTTAAAGCGAGAGCAATAATGTGTCACGGCTTTGGGCAGGAAAAAGAACGGGGCTTTTTTTACGCTTACTGACTAAAAACTTTTTAGTCAGTAAGCGTAAAGCACTCCATCTTGACTCACCCAAGACGAAAAAAGTCATTTGAGGACTGGAAGAAACAATATGTTGGTAACATATTTTAAAGGACATGCATAGGCATGAATTGGTTGTCCTTTCCCTCCCCTAATCCCAAAATCTCCAATTCTTTAAAAAGGTCGGCAGTGCACTCGTATCTTCTCCGTTGTTGCGGATGACCGTGGGCGACGCTGATTGCTTACCATCAGGTATTCCGTACACGTCCTTATCCGTCATCATATAAAAAAAGGAAATTTCTAAATTTGACCGCGCGGACTAAAACTTAAAAGCATCCCTACTCTTCATAATTCCATAGCAACAAGGATTTCTATTATCCGACTTACACCAAAAAGGATGAAAGCACTAAAATAGTATTGAAATATGAAACATGAATAGCCTTACGGCACTATAAGCAGCTTCATGGAAAATCCTTTTATGAACCTTCATTATTTTCGGGCAGGATTCGGTGGTCACTTAATTACCTTCTCTCATAAGTTTTATCTTAGACATGGCAACCATGGGCAACTTGTTGGCTGATTGATGACAGTTCATTATAAAAGTGGCAAAAAAGTCATCACCCTTACTTTTGCTGTTGAGAGTCAGCAAAGATCAAGCGGATCACATTACGGTAATCGGCGCACCCCATTGCAACTCGCAACAGTATAGAAAAAACGAGTGTGTCGGCGATTGAGAATTTAAGGAGTGGTGGTGGGGGAAGGGGACGGGCCTTCTTTAGCCCAGAGTAGGGCGAAAGGTAGTAACAGACTTAGAGATTAAAAACCAACCCTATCCTTCTCCTGCAACATCAGCTCTTTTAGGCTGGGTCAGATCATCATCATTCATTATTACTTGACTCTTATGAGGACAATGCCGTTATTTCTTCTTCTTGAGCTTTTAGTTTAATTTACGCCTCAAATATTCTAATAATATCTTTTAATAATATCTAGATTTCTAACCGGGATTACAAGGTTTGCCAAAGAATGTAAAAATATATAACGGTCGACAAACGAGCAGACGGATTACCTGATGTTAAGCAATCAGCGCCGCCCATGGACAACAACAACAGGGGAATTACGAGTGCGTTGTCGACCTTTTCAGGGTGATTAGGGATTTGGAGATTCAGGGATTGCGGGGGGATGGGGGAGGGTAATGATTGGGCGTTCGTTAACCTCACTCACAAGGCGAAACACAACGCTGTGACTAGACTAGGTATTCTTCAATAAAGTGCACTAGTCAAAGAAGCAAACTCGGGGCATTTAGTCTTATAGAAACTTATGCATCTCCATTATTCTTGGTAAAGATCTTGGTGGCCACTTGATTACTGGATCGGGTTTATCTCTGACTTGGCAACTGTTAGCAACTATTAATGGCTTTAGTTAGTGGTTTTGTGCAAAGTAGCTGTTGCAGTATTAACAAGAAAACGGTTTCTCACCTTTGCCTAAAAATTTACGGGTAGATAATGCCATATGATTTTAAGTCTGCCTTTAGGACCAAGCTTTTTGGGTACTCAAAAGCCTAAATAAATATTTAAATAAAATATTTCCAATAAACAATTTTTCAAATTAAAAAAAGTCAACAAATTATTTTCAATAATCAAATACTTTAAATATTTTTCTAATTTTAGACTTCTTTATTGGGTTATCCTACATTATGTCTACAATGTTAGAAGGCACAGTTGCTACGTTTGAGCGAGCTCTTAAACCCCGTATTATGTTTATGGTCCGTTCATAAGTTATTCGACGCGTTGAAGATTCATTAATGATGAGCATGTGTTAATGAGCGAATTTATATTCTGAGGTATTGTGACGTGTCATGAAAGTTCTCTTTATAGCTTAAATCTAAATAATAATAAGATTTACTCAACATTATCACAGCCAAAAAAATATTTTGCCACCAAAATGTGGTAAAATATGAATATAAATATACAGAGTGTAAGGGACAGCCTTCCGCAAACTGATAGGGTGGATTCAGTATATCGTCTTAAGTTGACCGGTACATGAAATTATTTCAGGAACGTTATGGGAATCCAATTAAACCGATTTGTTTCATTACCTTACACGCAATGTATCGCTACCACCGCAAACGCACGCAGCGAACGGCAGCGCTTTTAGTATTATTACTTTACACTATGGGCAACGCCGCGACCTTACCTTTCGGACAAACGGTCGCGCTCGCGCCACGTTTTAATAACAATAAATTATTATTTACAAGATAGCCGCATTACTTACAAAAGACAATTTAATAATCGCGCTCGAGCCACGTTTTAATAACAATAAATTATTATTTAAAAGATAGCCGCATTACTAACAAAAGAAAATCTAACAATCATAACATGGTAACTGATAAATGATAAAAAAAGAAAAATGTGTAGGTACCTTAGAATCGCTCCGGTTTCCGGCTCTGGAAAGCATGCGGTCCAAACCTACCTAAACTACGTTTAAATAGGAAAGCACTGGTAAGTGGTAGCGTCTCGTTACGTTAGCGAACCAATTCCAAAATCCACGTAGGTATTGGTCTTCCGGCGCCTTTTTGTCTGGGAACAATGGGCTGGTTTTCTAGCAAGCGTTGATAGTCACCAGTAATTATCCTGGAGTCTGATGGATGCCGACGGTCAGGATACCTACACTACTACAACACATTATCATCTCCCCATAATCACGCGCGCTAAACGTACCTAGGTAGTAATTTCGCACAATTTCTACAACAAAACTTCACTACACTTCACACACTACATAACTAATAAAACTTAACAACACTACTTATAAAAAAACTTTTAAGCCGAATGCGCGAGCGATCCGTACCGACACACCCTCGCGGTACACAAACAGTAACATCGCAGCAAGGCACAATGGCGACTGCATGTGATGAGACACACACAAACATAAATCTGTTGTTGCCAATTACACGAAAATTACAAAACTTCGGGGTAAAAAATAAAAAATTATGCATGGTCGTAATTTATCATTCTGTTATTTTTTGTAGAGAAATGAATTGATTAAATCAATTTAATTCTAATTTCATTGTTTAGTTAATTTAGAATAACAAAAGTGCAGTGTGATAGAAAGCTGTGCTTCCATTCCAGGGAGATTGTGTTTAATTTCTGGCTCGACTATCAATTCATGGCTATTGTGAAGCCATGTAAATCTGTAAGTAGTTTAAAAACTAGCCAGTAATCGCTTAAAAAGAACAATCAATTAATAAATTAGGTAGCATTTGTAAATGCTTTAAAATTAAAACTAGACTAATCTTTATTTATTTTTTATTCAATTTATGTGCGCGACAAGATTTTCATTAATTGATTAATGAAAATCTCATCAATGTGATTATGAATGCAAAGGATTTCTCAAGTTTTAGATAAATTTCGATAGTTCTAACATTTTCGTTTACAAAGGTAGAAAGGTAGAAGAGGTAACAAAAGTTAAAAGTTGGCGACACTGGTTCAATCGACAGGAAGGGACGCAGCTATTCTGTACGTTGGACGGGATCGTAGGTATACCTACGCCTACGGCGCGGCGATCGGCGCGGTGGGGCGCCGAGCCGCTGCGCCGTGACCGCGGTGCGGTGAGTTCAAACGACTCGCGCTAGGTAGAAATTGAACAGCTGATTTCATGCGTAGTTCTTTAGAGAATTCACACAACCATTGCGTAGGTATTTTTTTGTTTTAGCTGTGTTATTTACATTAATGATGAACATTCATAGAATGTAATTATACATTGAAATAGAGGTGTAGGAACTGAAAAAACGAAAAAAAAATTGAAAATTTTCCTGAAAGAATTTTCACTGGAATATGATTCAGAATAAGGAGCTGAATGCACCCTGTTAATTTGTGGAGGGCTGTCCCTTACACCCTGTATAATTTAATTCAGTTGTGGCAAAAAAAAAGTTATGTAAATACATCATTCAGAACAATTTATTTTATCAAAAGATACTATCGTGAATTCCAAGAGTAAAACAAAATAAAACTTAATTCAATACTAAACAGACATGTTTAACAAAAACGTAGTTGAACACCTTAAACCTAAACAGAAAGAAAATAAAAACGAAAAAGTTCAAGAACTCTAACATTCCAGTGACAAAGGTCTGTGTCAATATTACCCGACAGACGATCAAAGTAAGTGACCTCCGAATCTAAAGAAAAAAGTCGCGTATTGTGGCCCGTTCAAATTTGTACGGGTCATGTTGTGTGTAATTGCTTTGCGGATGGGTGAGCAACATTTTAATTAACTTCGTTATCTCCTTACGCTTTGTAATTTTTTTTTTCGGATGACATTTTGCCTCGGTCCGTGTGTAATTATTGTTATGTTTTCTTTCTGTGTAATGGTGAAGGTTTATTTTCTTTTACGTAGAAAAATTGTGTCTTGTTGATAATTGAACTTATTTATTGCTAAATGATCACCGGTCACTATATGAAGTACCATCCCTTATTTTGTTCCCATCATGTTTTGAATCGTATAAATTCCACCTTTATGTGATGCCTAGAAACCTCTCATAATAAGCATAAACAAACAACAAATGCAAAGAGGATCGCATAGGTACGTTTAAACAACACATCTCTTAATATAAATCTATACTTAATATTATAAAGAGGTAAAGTTTGCAATTTTGTAAGTTTGTAAGTTTGTAAGTTTGTATGTTTGTAAGTTTGCAAGTTTGTAAGTTTGTAAGTTTGTATGTAAGGGGTAATCTTTGGAACCGCTGGTCGGATTTTCAAAATTCTTTCACTGATAGATAGATACAATGTTCCTGAGTGTCATTAGGCTATGAAACATCACGCTCGATCAAATGGAGCCGAGCAGCGAGCGAAACCGCGCGGGAGTAGCTAGTGAATTCATAAAGCTAATCAAATAAAGCAACAGAATTGGATCAAAACAATATCAACGTAAATCCTACGACAATTTGGCATAATTTACTGTGAAAAACCAATCGAGATAAGTAGTTTCTTTAGTAAAGAAAATATGAATAACATTATCAGTTCGACAATTTATTTACAAAGTTTACAACGTTAATATAAAATTCATGAGACAAACTATAATAGATTGGTGTTGTTTACATATTTTGTACTTACGTTAATTTTTATCAGCAAAATGTTTTTTTTATTTAAAATGGATAGATATTGTTAAAAGCTTTCAGGATTAAGGCAGCTCTTTATTTTACATTGAAAGTAAATAATAGTTGTGCTAGTGTGTTTTTATTAAAAACAGCATTAAAGGAGATATTGTACTCATATGTGGGTAGTATTTATAAGAAATGCAGATTTGTGGTTACAAAATAATTAAAACCTACGAATTAAGAATTATACTAACAACAAACTTCAGATTTTTGTGAGTCGAATAGTCACGGGACTTAACAATCTACAGCAAAATTATATTTTTAATAGTCTTCCAGCTAAGTATTTATGGTCATGCCAAATAGATGTAGGTATACAACATTTTATCACAATCGGTTGGTATATAAATATTGGTTCACCACAAAATAACTTACTTTACGAACATACAAATATACATAATATCAAGTTAAATAAAACTTGTAAAAATAACAGAAACATCAGGACCTTTGTTTAAGGAATCGTCATCATCATCATCATCATCATCATCATCATCATCATCATCATCAACAACATCAGCCGGAAAATAAAGGTCTGCCCCTTGGTTCTCCACGTCGAAAGACAAGTCGTCATCAACATCCATTGAATCAGTCGTCATCAGAGTCGTTGTTACGTCTATGTTCCTCCACGCTTCGGCTTCCAGTCCATGTTCGCCATTCAAGCGATTTGCAGCACCGGCTGTGCGCTTTTAGAGCTATGTAGCCTGCCTCTTGCCATTTCAGTTGAACATTGTTGTCTTTTTATGTAGCCTTTTTACGAAATTGGTTCATTGTGGAGTTTACTAGTTATCTTCATCATCAAGCCTTTAACTGCTCACCACGAAGCGAATGCCTCTTCTCATACGGAGAAGAATTGAGTATTGATCAACCCGTTTGCTTAAAGCAGATTGGCCATAACAGATCCACAATTTGAAATTATAAGTCGAAATTTCCTACCGATGTTTTTCTTCGCTGTATATCAGTTTCATTTAATAATCTCATAAGGTATACAGATAGTAGAAAAGTCAAATTGGTATTTGCTCGACGTCAAGCCTAGTACTTGAAGAATGGGCACCTAAATCTGGCCCACCATTTAACTCCGTGCTAAAATTGAAATTTCAAATTACGTAAATACAATTTTATCAATAGTAGCTCAAAATACTAAGCAAGTAAACATGAACAAGAAAATCGGTTTTGGACATTTTAAATAATGAAGATTACTTCCCATTAGCCTGAAACCAGGAAATTGAAAATTATCAAAAGGTAAACATTAAATACAATCTCTATAGTCATCTATCAAAAAGACGAAAAATCCAAACTTAAATTTGCAGTCAAGCAAACCACATCAGCCTTAATAAATATCTTTGAAGACATTTTTCAGATAGCACTAATAAGTTTGTACTACGGTCCAAGTTATCTTTTTCTGATAGATCACGTTCATCTAATGCACTGGCACTAAGATAAACTTTAAAACTGATTTAAACTTAATTATTTCGTAGAAGCACGGGACGGAAAGAAAATAAATTGACGACGGAGGTGTATTGAACGATAATTAATTTATCCGACGGTAGATGGCGCTTAAAGCAAAAAAGGTCCATCACATTAGATGTGCTGCAAAACATTACATTTTTTTGATATTCTCTTATAACTGTCGAATCTTATGTTTAGTTTAAGTGTGGGAGAGCCATGCTTCGGCACGAATGGGTCGACCGAAGTGATACCACGGCCTCACAGAAGACCGGCGTGAAACAACCACAGCGTTGTGTTTCGCCGTGTGAGTGAAGTTACCGGAGGCTCAATCCTTCCCCGCCCCCAATCCCTCCTCAATCCCTTAATCTCCAACTCCCTTATCCCTAAAAGGTCGGCGACGCACTCGTAAATCCTCCGTTACGGGTGTCAATGGGCGGCGCTGATTGCTTACCATCAGGTAATCCGTCTGCTCGTTTGCCGACCAATTACATAAAAAAAGCAGTGGAAATTGTGTAGTTGAAAGGTAGATGACGACGTTGATGAGCTAACAAATAAGAAATCAGCGGAGGGCTAAATACACGATGTTGTCGAATTTCTGTTAGATAAGATAATAAGATTGAAGTTGGTATAATTCATATCCGACTAAAATTATAAATTCAAAAGTGTGTTGGGATACCTAAAAACTATTTTAACTATAAACTTTCCAAGTAGAGATTGCTTGCCTTGTGGTAAGAATGGTTTGAAGGAGAAGATTAAATACAATAGAAAAAAAAAACATGTTCCAAAGTTTAAAAAGTAAATTTTAAGTTTTTATTGTTAATGACAACCCAAAGGACAATTTTATTTCAAACTTACCCTTTTTGTACCTGAAATTAAATTCAATAACGTACCGCTCACGTCGAGTTAAGACGCTTAATTAAGCGTAATAAATCAATTAGATGAAATGTAATTAATTTTGGTTTAGAAAACGTGTCACCCTTCCCTGTATGTTGACGAGTTTATATAATAACCTAATTTATTTAGTTAAAATACTGTTATGGAGTTCATTTATAAATTTTGGTTTAAATCAATTTGGTATGTAACACATTAAATTTCATCACTATTATACATATATATTACTAGCTTCCGCACGCGGCTCTGTCCGCGTAGTATGTTGGTAGAAAGCCTATATTTTAATCCAGAGTATCACCTCTCTACATATCAAATTCTGAGCAAATCGGTTCAGCAGTTCTCACAGCTTTTCACGTATAATACATATAAGTATATAAAGTATATACGTATAAGTTGGATATTCCTTTAAACAGTTTCCACATGATATACACACATCGGTACCACATCAAGTTACAAATAAGTGAATAAATTATAAAAACAAAACAGTTACACAAAAAGCAAACTGCAAAAAATTATTATTATTAATTTGTCGAACTTTTATTTCTTTTGGATAAAACAAACATTATGTAACAGAAATACAAAATATATTTTTTATTTTTCTTCGTTGACTGACTTCATCCTTATGACAATGACTTAGCGGGGTAGAAACAATTTGCTTGTTTTGCTTATTCAAATGAAGAAGACTCCATTGATAACATTCTCTACATAAAACCACCTCGATATCGTAATTAAGACTTTATATAACACTCAATTTACTGAACCAATTCAAACAGAACCTAAGATAGCAAACGAGAGATACTATCGTCCCAATTTTCTCCGTGCTCCCTTTACAAATTCAACTGTTCAAAGCAAATTAATCGCAGAAGAGGTCTTTGGCCTCAAACAATGAAATGCATGATAGCCATTTCAACCAGCAGACACATTACTAACGGCCATTAATTTGCAAGTTTATTAGGCATAGTAACTACACAAAGAACCCCTGTCTCGAAGTGTATTTATTAGAAATAGAACTAATTAAGCTGAAATGTTTTAATCGTTATAATAAAATGCATTGAAGGGCAGAACAATGTGCCTCAGGTATCCAAAGTCTCTATTAGTATTAATAATAATTTAAATTTATACAAGAATTTGTGATGTTATTTAAAAATGTTTATTACAAACTTTCAAACAGGACTCGCTAGATATTTTGTTTATATGTGTGTGTGTAATCAATGAGATGGTATGCATATCTTAAAAAATACCGGAGACTCAATCCTTCCCCTTCCCCAATCCTTCCTTCCTTTCTTGAATCCCAAAAACCCCTTATCTTCATAATGTTGACATTGCATTTGCACATTTTGAAACTCCTCTGGTCTTGGCAAAAGTTACCATCCATGTTTTTCACATACATTTGCAGTAGACTCAGGAGCCATAATCTTGTCGGTAATTATTTTGACTTTAGTGGCTTGTATATTGTCGTCAGGTTTTCTAGTCGAGGTAAAGTATTTGCTACTCGTATATTTTAAGACCTATCTCTTTTTATGTGATACGAAAACGTGCAGATGGATTATCTGATGTTAAGCAATTGGTGCCGCCTACGGCTCCAGAAACACTAAAGGAGTTACAAGTGAATTTCCGAATTCAAGGATTGGGGAGTGATGGGGGAGAAGACGGTTTGGGCATCCGATAGTCTTACTTTCTCGGCAAAACACAACGCCGTGGTTATTTCACGTCGGTTTTTTTGTGATGCCGTGGTATCACTCCGGTTGAATCGGCCCATTCATGGCAAAGCTTGGCTCTCCCACAGAATCTTTACTAAAATAAACGTTCATATGTGCTTAAATCATAGGCAACAAAATTAACGACAAAAAAAAATAGGAAGACCAATTTAACGTCATTAGGCGCGTTTACTAGATCAACGAGGCGAAAAAGAGCACGAAAGAACAGTAATCAATAGTAATCTACTTTTCTACAACACTAATGAAGTTTTAAAACCTAGCAAAGTGTAGGGACTATTAAAAGCGCGTCTCTGACACAGTCAGAATGATTGATGATCGAGTATTTGTGGATTGCTCTTTGAACATTGATAGACAAGGAAATCAAATAGTTTCTTCGTCTATACTAATATTATAAAATTAAAATTTGTAAGTTTTTATATAGGGCGTAATCTTTGGAACCGCTGGTCAGATTGCCAAAATTCTTTTACTGATAGATAGCTACATTATTCCTGAGTGCTATAGGCTATAAAATATCACGCTATAAATGGAGCTGGGCAGCGGGTGAAACCGCGCGAGAGTAGCTAATTTCAAATAAATAAATTTATATTTAGAAGTTTATAATTATATCAGGTCGTTACTTACGTTTTTTATTTAGGTGTGCGACTTTCGAAGTAGTCCTTATGATATATGATAATATCTATTCCTACCCCAGACCTACATATAGATGAAACACAACACAACAAACCCACTTATACATGGAGAAAAAACGGGTTGGTTTTTGTCTGTAAGAATCTAACACTCCCTCGGTTCACTTAGATCAGAGGCAGATATTTGATGGTTTTCCTCCGCCACTTAAAGACTCATTTCTAGACAGGGGTAGTTGATTATAGAGAATTTAAGTTTGAATCTTTGATTGTATAAACATTTTTAATTATCGCTAAAATTTCTACCGTGAAGAGTAATCATCATCATCAGCCTATAAGTGCCCACTGCTAAGCAAAGGCCTCTTCTCACACACAGAAGGTTTGAGCATCAATCAACACGCTTGCTCAAGGCGGATTGCCGATTTCAAGCTTATAATTATTAATTATAAGTCCGGTTTCATCTCGATGTTTTCCTTTACCGTATGTTAGTGGTGTCTGAATAATCATAAAAAGTACATATAATTCGGAAAAGTCACATTGGTACTTGCCAAGGTTCGAACCCGCTCCCTTATGAATGAGAAGCGGGCGCCTTAGCATTTGGGCCACCACGACATATAAAAATAAAATTTAGTTGTTATTAACACGGTCATTAACGACTTAATATTGCATGAATGCTTGTCATTTTTCTTTTTTTTCTTACTCTAAAATAGCTTATAGATTTTACAGTTCGTCGCAGAACAGTTTTCATCGATTTTAATATAGGTTTTGCTTTAACAAATTCAAGCCTATGCAAAACAAGTTGAGCCGGCCTCAACACGCTGCCATGTACCACGAAACATGAACCCGACCCGTAGTGCCAACTTTTGGAAACTGTATAATATATTATATGTGTACAATATACATATGGAAGTTAAATAT